TAAAACTGCAATACAAACTCAGAAAATTCTTATATGAAGAACTTAAAAACCAAAACAAACAAACAAAACCCCAAAGCAACTAATGAGGAGCTCCTTGACATTTTGAGGAGCGCGGGTTAGCTGTTTCACTAGAAAACAAGCAAATCCCCAAATGCATCTCTATGTAAAAGAGAAGCTGTCAGGGAAGACAAATCAAGCAACAGTCACTGTTTACTCCAATACCCTGGTGGATATTAGCACGAAGGCACTTTCCTGTCTGAACCAGAACCAGCATCCAGGACTACACAGGATGGCAGACATGTGAAACCACCATGGCGAGCAGCATAAGGTACATCAGACCTCTCTCACTCTTTTTTGTGTTATTTGTTTGCTTGTTTTAAATACATTAAAGTTGCCAGAAAAGTTATTCTTTTCCCCGCCATCCAAGGATTTCAGTGTGTCTTTTTTTTTATGAGCACAGAGAGCATTTTCACCTCTCCACTCCTGGAGCTGAAGCAAAACATCTGTTAAGAACCGAGGAACCGCGATGCACTGAAGTTCTGACTCCACCACGAGGAGCTGGCAGCTTGTTTCCCATACTCACCTGGGACCATCACTGCTAAGCAACTGTTTGGGGCACATCATCATCGACTTTTGCTTCAACCCACAGTAAAGCGACACCCCCTGCAAGAAGGTGCCATGAAAGTGACTGATACAGCAGAATTTATCTGTGATATACGAGTTAAGCCTGCAGTATCAGGTAAGAGGAGAAAAACTGACTGCTGAAGAAACACTTTTCAGGCTCACTGTAGCAGCCTGTAATGAGAAAATACTGCAAAGTGAGTTCTGGAAAGCTTACAGGATACACTGCTTTTATATTTTAATAGGCTCTTCTACATCCTCCTACTTAAGCATAAAGCACTACTTTAAATACCAAACACTAGTATAACTGCTGATTGTCCTCCTATGTCTGAGCAAAATGACAGGATGTTATACACTCAAGGACACCTACTGCTGCCTTTTGGGAGCAGAACTCCCAACTGAAAGCATTTTGGCTTCTTGCTGGGGAAAAAAAAAAAAATATACACACACAATATGTATATGCAATAAATACATATACACTATATAAACAGATTTGTCCTGGTAACCGATTTAGGCTCAGTGTAACTGGGTATTTTTGCCATGTCTTCAGACAGATCCTTCTCATCCTCTGACAGCTTTCTGTCATTAGGAAAAAAAGTCATATACCCTGGAAGTCAACGTAACTTGTACACTAAATAAAAACCCTTAGAAGAAATAACAACACCTACCACTACTTAGCCAGCTCAGCATGAAAATACCAAGTCAGCACTGGATCCCATATGTGTGTGCATGCATGCACATGTATGTGAGTTGGAAACGAGGCCTGTGTGGTTTTGGCAGAAGCTTTTGCTCAGCCCAGTTTGCAGCGGTAATCCATGCACATTTAAACAGGTTCTGATCTAAGTGGAAAAAATGGCACAAGAAGAAAATTCAGTGATTTCTGCACAGGAAGCACACGTAGCTGGTGTAGCCACCAACTCTCCCAGAGTAGAGAGAGAAAATGAGAGAAGCGAGCAGAGAGATGACAGGGGGTTAAACGAATTCCTTGAATTAAGATGACATAGACCGAACTTCCTCTCATCAACAGCAGAAACCACCAACAAAAACTACTGCAACTAGTTTACTGACTACCTACCAGATTTGGAAGCCACTCTAAATGCCCAACGCAGCCAAAAAGAAGCAAGTCAGATATTTCTTTGTTTTAAAGAAATAGCTGCCAAAGTATCTGCTAGTTTTTCAACCTACCTGCATATTCACTAGGCAATTTTAATCACATACAGCTGTTCATGCAACTTTAATGGTGTTTTTCCCCCTGAAACATTAATATTTCCTGGTTAACAGTCCCGTATTATAAATCATTTTGTGAAATACAGCCTATTAAAGTGGGAAGTTTGCGTAGAAGTTTTTGCTAAGCGACGCACGCACACAGAGACATGGAACAAATACCGCCCTGCATCCACAGGCAGTGCGTATGCCTGAACTAAACACATCAGAGGGGAACAAATCACATTGGCGCATACAGTATGGGTGGAACTGGGACTAGTTTGAAGTGATTTCTTGTTAAGTCGGTTATTGTTTTTTAATGTAAATTCCTTTTTTTATAAATGAAATGCTGTTTCAATCTTAGAAACTAGACTTTACAATCAATTTATGATTCCTGTATTTTACATCTAGAAGAGACCACCATGACCACCTGATTTGATCCCCACCATGACCACCTGACTCGATCCCTTCCTTAATGTAGACTGAAGAACTACTCTCGAGCTTTAAAACTTCTGAGTCTTCTTCGCTATATATAAATTAGCTGCCAAAGCACAGCTGAAAAATGTATTTAAAATGAAAATAGAAAGAGGAAGAGAGGACAAGCAAAGGCACTGTTTATTTAAATTTCACAGCAGCTAAATTCCTGATGTTTGCAATAGTCCTGCCTTGACCTCTACCTGGACAGCATTATGATACTTTCTTCATTGCTGAGATTGAGGCATATACGGTCGAAGGAATATCATATTTTATTTAAACACACTGCAGAAGGACATTAAATTTTACAGGTCAGATTCTCCATGGTGCTTGAGCAAAGCTGGGGCTGCAGGGAAGAGCAAAGAGCCAGCTTGCTGCCAAGGTGCAGCTTCCCTTTATCCGCCCAGAATAAACATCCTCAGCCTTCCTATGGCCAGACAGGTCCCTCAGCCCAACAAACCCTCTCTCCACCTGGATTTTACAGGGATGACAGCTCATGGGGGCTATGGTACTGCCTTGACCAGCACCATTTTTTAACAGACCCAAGTCCCGCAGTGAGACAAAGCCCCGTTGTACCAACAATCGCAGAAGGGGATGGCAGCTCTGCCAGCCTGTATCAGGTTTTTGCCCCCCTTGAGAGCTCCTTCACACAGACGGAGGTCCCCACCTGCCATTCAGAGGCACTCCCAAGTCACCCCATGCCTAAACATTGTAATTGTACATAAAGGTACTAAAGCAAGTTTCAGTGAGTCAACCTCACAGTACAGGTACGCAAAACCATGACCATTTACCCTCTTCAGCCACATCACATTACACCTGCACCTTACTAGTGGCAACCATTTCAACCACGTGATGCACATATTTCAACCATAACTATGAATCCAAATATGAAATGATGTCCTGACTCTTCCCACCTAAGGCACCTGAAATGACTACACCCAGAGTAAAGTCTCACTGTTGCACAGCCCGTGAGAACAGACATCTGTGGACGTTCCAGCCCTGAGAGCACGTGCGACGCCCTGAGCATCAGCGCTTGTATTTTTGACTGCGCAGCTATGAGCCTTCGCTGACAGGAGAAACTCAGCTCTCCCTGCTGCAGGCACAGAAACAACACTGCCGCACAGACAGATAAATGCCAGGAAGGCACCAGGATCAGCTTCATCTTATCTGGGGCAATCTTTTAGCCATATAATGAAATAAAAATCTCTCAGGGACCTTAGAACAAAATGCTTTTTGGTCTAGCAGCCCTGCCTCCCCCTCCAGGGTCCATGTGGGCTGCGGGTTTAATCTCATCCTCCTGCAAAGACACCAGCAGGAGCAGGGCCACCCTTAACTCCATCGACTGCTCTGCGGCTGCACGCTTCAGGCAAAATGCCGTTCAGGTGTGTACGCCTATTAGGGCTCTAATACTGGAAATAGAAGTGGAACAGACAACCAAGGTAATTTAATCTAGCAAGATAATTCACTTTCAGTATTACACCCCCCCACCACCACCACCCCAAATGAATCAGTGAAAAGTGCCCAGCGTTTTCCTAATGGAAAGGGAATTGTATGCCTATTATCTTTACCCTTCACTCCATATGAACTGTAGAAATGTCTGTACCCGACTCTGAGCTTATTGGTATCGCTGTGAACAGGGACAGCTTCCACAGAAGTAACTACATTGCTAGTACTGTACTGTAAAGCGGGATGGAGATCTGAATTGGGCACCTGTTACTTAATGCAACTCTCTCAAGTCAGATTTAACTTTCTGCATGTTTTTTCTTGTTGCTGCTGTCAATTAACAGAAATATGAAGCTTAACATGTCAACCCACACAAGAAGAAAGCCTCTCCTTCATTCCCCTCTGTCCCCCACCCTGCTTCATTGCAGGGCATGTATAAGATAAACACAAAACAGCTCCCTTAGCTGTAGTGGCTTGAGACATAAAAAGCAGGAAAATTCCCTTCACTCCAAGATTTTCTCAGTGAGGTGTCACTTTTTATCCCTTCTATAGACTACTTTTCAGAGCAGATACTTCTTTAAAGTACTCCCTGTCCCTGCCCACAAAGAAAAAAAATAACATCTTCGGCTATGGAAGTATCTAGGTTCGTTCTTGAAAGTCAGGATGTGGTATTTAAGTCAGGATGTGATTATTAAGTCCTACACATAAGACTGTTCTTTGCTCTGTGAGTTTTCCATTTATTACTTCTTACATTCAAAATAAGTCTGTACCTATACATGCGTGCAGTTGTGTAAGCCTGATGGGCAGTTACCTACCCATCCCTCATCTGAAGGGTTTGCCAGCACTTTTGTGAAATCAGGTTGGGGAAGTCAACTACACCAGCTCCTTCCCACAAGGGATAACGCACAGTGTCTCACGCCTGCCAAGAGACTGAATTCATTCATTTCAAATAACGGCAGGCTTTCACTAGATCCACTCCATAATTCTTAATCAGGCATTTGTATGTGGTCTTACCAGTGATGGATGTAGTTCCTTAGCCCTGATTCTGTTGGTTCACTGCCAGCAATCCGCAGGCCAGGCAAATTGGGAAAGTCTTGTATGTTATGAAGTGCCAGGAAAGGAAGGGAAATCTGAGTTGGATTTTGTGCGTTTTTAACGCACAAATGTTAGTAAATGTGGAGAACCCAAACTTCACCTCCCACCCCTTCTTGCTCTACCAAGGGCGGAATGCAGAGCATGACAGCACTCACCCCACTTACATGCTTTCCACAACTCCACCTTCCCCACCACTCAGGTTCTGCGGCTGAGCTCCCTGTACATCACCCAAGCTCTTTTGGGTCACTAACACGATGTCATTGATGTCATCACTGCAACGATCAACCCTGAAGCACACCACGATGACTGTTTCCCCAAATCACAATTATAGCGCATTTGTTCCAGCAGGCTTGAAAATGAGGGGATGAGGCAGGCTAGGTTTTCCTGCTCAATAGGTTTTCACTCCAATCTAATTAAAAACATTCAGTGATTCACTGAAGTTCCTTGCAAACTGTGCGTGTCCCGTGCTTTAATATAAGCTCTGAAAGCAAATGGCCTGATGCTTTTTTTTTCACATTAACTCCCCAGACGGAGAGGATTCCTCAGAAATTTCTTTGTGATACTGTACCGAAGCCACCGAACCAGAAAAGTCGAGCTGCTTCTGAACTATCTTGTTTTTGTTGTTATTGTTAATGGCTTTTTTCCTCATCTAAAAGCTAACAAGGAAAGCCCCTCTTGGTTCTCTGACATGCAGAGAAGTGACAGTACAGCTCACTGCAAACAGTCAGCTCTGCTCACCTTGGTCTGAAACTGGGTCAGGGATGCCAGCTTCTGGGTATACACAAGGAATATGCAATTAATATTGGGGATTGAGATGCTGAGGAACAAGAGCACCCTTCTCTTGCAGGCAGAACTTGAGTAGTTCAGCTTTAGCACTCAGAGGGGGCAGCCTCCTCACAACTAAGGCATGTTTACATATGATTTTTGTAAAGAGGGCCCATTTCTGGGAAACACGTCAAGGGATCTATGCGAGCAGCCAAGCCAAGCGCTGCACTGCTGTACCACCTTAATCCAAAGGCAAGCCACTGCTCAGAGATGGCCCCTGCAGTGCATTATGTTGGTGCTTGTGGGAGAACGTGCACCAATGGAGAATTGATCCAGCTCCAAATAGTGTTAACACCACTGGAGAAATTCAGTGGGAAAGACTACACAGACATCATGAATTATGCTTGTAACTCCATCCCCAATACTGAAAATAGACCTTTTGCCTGCCAGGAGTCAGCCCAACCTGGGGAACTGCCACAGAGCATGGTGCACACAAAAAGCCTGTAAGCATGTCAGAAGGCTTTTGCCATCAAACAAGTGCTAAAGGATCCTGCAGACCGGCTAGCTATCACACCACCAGCTCCCAAATTCAGCCTTTCCCTAAATGCCTCAAAAAATGCTTGTCTTCATCTCCATAAGCAGAGTGCCCTTAAGCTGTACAGCCGCGAACAAATTCCTTCAGGGTTGTAACAACCAATTAAGGGATGTGAAGCAATTACTTTTATACCCATACAAATGAAACTCCTCCAATGCAATTAACTATCCCTTATCATCTACTGTTGAATTTGTGGAAAGCATATGCTATACACTCTCTCCTCCCCTAGCTTTTCCACAATTTTAATCAGTTTGTTTTAGCTAATGTAATGGAACCCACCTATTCTAGAGAAATAATATATGGCTGCAAATTATCTGAATATTTTTAAATATCTTTTTTCATTTTAAATATAATTTCATTTGAGATTTTGCAGCTTTCATTTCTATTAATAAATTATCATTTCTTCTGTACAAGTGATGAGCTAGTGTGTCATGTAATTTTTTCCTCTAAATAGACCAAGACTTTGATCTAATGCAAGCCCTTGCTGGGAGTAGAGAGACTTTCTGTCTAATTTAGTTATGAAAAATATTCAATTAAACTTGGGAGTTTAATTCATTTAGTTATGAAAATTAAATGAGCTCAATAAGGTACATTTGATTTGCCTCAGGAAATAAAAAAAAGAAGAGAAGAATCTCTGAAAGGGGAACAAATAAGAAGGGAGAACAAAAGTAACTTTTACTGCTCACGTTGAGAGGTGGATAACATGAAGAGCCTGAGTTCTGTTTTGTGTGCCTATATGAAACATATCCACAATGAGTTCATGCGAAATTTGTATTCAGAAGCCACATGAGTATCTGGTATTAACATCCTAATTGTCTACTGGGTAACAAAAATCCCTGCAGGTCATAACTGAGTCCATCCCCGTCAAGGGAAGATCTGGCTCCTCACACTGGGAAGACACCACCCAAAGAAAACTCTTCTCCATCTCCGTTTGGGGAAAAAGGAAAATATTGGAATTCTTTTCCAAAACCAGAACAGAGCAACGTGGGTCTCTCCAACAGAAGCCCCCTTCTAGTTTTGCAGCCGTCACTTACCATTTTTGCAGATAGGACAGCACTGATCAGGCTCATACACGGGATCCACGCACTCTGTCTGGGGACAAGCTGAGACAGTGCACAGCACTTCACCATTGGCTTCACAGCGACACTTCTCACACGGAGAAACCTGAAACACAAATCCAGTCATCTTTCAGCTCTTTCACTTAATGCCCTCCTGGAGTACGCAACGCCTACCTTCCCATCTGCACCGTTCTTTCCTTCACCTCTTTTTCCTCCCCGCTTGAAAAAAAATGCTTTTTGTGGTCTGAATAATGTGGAGAGTGAAGCTGGGCTCCTGCAAAATTACAGAACCACAGCAGAAAAAAACCACAGGTTCTGCCCTGAACTGTGCCCCAAATGGGAAAGTCAAAGGGATGCTGGGAAGAAGAACACTTTAGACTTTTAACACAAACAAAGCGAAAATTTCCCTACCACATTTGTAATGAACTTCCAGCAAATTAAGTTCATAATTTATATGAAATCTGGTTTAATTCTATTAGAGGTTCAAAAAGTAATTCAGCAAAAGATATTGTATTTAAAGAAGAAAAATTTTGCTAAATGAAATAGGAAACTTCCTTTAATGGAAATCCTTATTGCAATTTTTCCAGGTTTGAAAGCTTTCTTGGTAGCAAGAAGCTGCATTTTATTGAAAAGTATCATTTTCAAAGAGAAATCAGGAAAAAAACCATCCTTTGAATTCAGGTATTTCCTATAGGTTAATTGTATTTGGACCATTCTTGTAATAGTTGTAACTTTCTGAAAAGAAACTGCAATTTGAAGAAAGGGGTGAAACAAAATACAGGTCAGCCTTTTTACCTACCAAAATGTTACTGGTTTTGAAGAACTCTACAGAATACGAGTACTGTGACATAATTACTTGAATGACCTACTTCAATGAAATTATTTCCAAACAAAACAGCATCAAGGCCCAATTTAGAAAAATTGGACTTTAAAATGTCTGCATTTGTCACGTGTACAATTCCAGCTGTCCTCTTCAGCGTTCCTGATCAGGCACCGCACATTACATCGCTCATGTCCTCTTACCACACAAGGAGCTGGGGGTAGAGGGAAGCAAGGGTGCTGAAGAGCAATAAATGGTATACTGTAGACCTCATTGCTGTACTCCAAAAAAACCCACACTGGCATCCATGCTCAGAGCGCAGGATGAAAACGCAGCTGAATGTTATTACCAGTGATCATCTAAATCCACAGTCTGTGCAGATTCTAGGTTTACTTAAGGATGAGGTCATTTTTATAGACCCTTTTTCATTGCAGATGCCAGTTGATGCCAAACAACCACCTGTTGCATTTCTCCAATAAAAGCAGAGTAACCTCAAATCTAAAACAACTTATTCTTTGTGAAGAATCATCCAGATGTCTAACTTGCAGATCATCTGGTTCCTTCTCCCTATTTCTTAGGCAGCCCATCACATTTTCCCTCAAATCCATTCGCTGCTTGCTTCCCTCTTTCACATCCTTCTCACTTCCAAAGTTCAAACATGCTGACGCTTGCACAGCATCATCTCCAACTAAATGCTCATCCATGCTTTGCCACTTCTCTTCCCACCTCCCAGGGCTGTTATTTGCTTATGCACTCACATATCTTTTCACACCATCCCCTCTGCTTAGAAAGCCTAAATAGGGTCTCTTGCTGTGTTGCTTTCTGCTTTTATTACTATTATTTATTTCAGGCTTCCTTTGCCAGCTACTCACTTCCAATATTCTCTTTGCTTTATACTCTACCCAGGATAACACCACACCGTACATTTATAAAATGCTACAAGGAGGCTGACAGCCCAGTACTGCAGATTTTTATTGCAGGCTTTGAGACAAGAACTTTGTCCTGTAATTGTTTATAAACTGCCACATTCACTTGCAGAGCTGGAGCGTCAGTAGATGAGGAGGTTTCTGATCCAGTGTTCAGAGTCAAGAGGCTGAGGTATTCCAGGTAATCACTTGAACCGCATATGAAATTTTGAGTGTCAGCAAACCTGAGCTCCTAACTATCTTCAAGTCAATAGTAAGAATCCCTCCCTCTTGAGTTATATCCAGAAACAATACTTACTAAGTTATGAAAACATGCTGTTTGGGGAGGACTGATTTTTTTTTTTTTTCTTTTAAATTAATCCTACTTGATGAACGCTACTAGAACTCCACTCCAAGGATCAGGGCCAACAAGGCAAACCTATAGCTTTCAATTGGTTTCAACATTTTTTACCATCACTTGAAAAAGATGCAAACTTGCTAATGATCACAGTTCAATGAGACCAGTAAATACAACAGATATTCCCTCTCTCAGGACTCCACTTAGTAGCTGCGCCATCCAATATTAGAAGTGATGTAAAAACTAGAGTATCTGATTATAATCAGGAAACAAGACAGCATACAGATGTGAATCCTAAAACATCTCTTCTGTAAAATTTAAACATATTCTAATTAAGTAGGTTGTTTACTAGAATTCAAAATTTGACAGAAGCCTAAAATTCCTAGAACAAGAAGCCATTTAAGGAAGCATTGAAAATACTGTTGAATGACAAACAACACCGATCTAATCTTTACCTAATAATGATGATTCAAAATAATGCATTTCCATCCTATACAGCACATACACTTGAAGACTACATCTCTCATAAATGGAGTACACTGTTAATGTGATACTGCAGTCACGAATACCCTTCCTGTGTAACAGATCATGGGATTTCAGGGGAATAACTATAGTACACCTTTAAGAAGTACTGTCGTCTGTACAACCCACCAATATGACTAATGGTAGCAGAGTTAAGGAAGGTCTCCGTGTGCTTATTTCTACAAAGCTCTTTTCAGGCAGGTAAGTGAGCCACAGTGGCTGCTAAAATGGTATTAGCGTCAACCTTTATCTGTTCCTCTTTGGACTAAACGGTAGCGTATTGCTTTTTATACATCATCAGGATGTAGCAGCAACTGTAGAAAAACCCCACTTCTTTCCGCATCTTAATGGCAGCTTAATACTTGGAGACATATTCACCACTAGAGAGAGAATAAGACTGTGTGTGTATATAACAACAGCTAAATAAATCAGAATGAAAAGACACATTTGGTCCTTCATTTCCTCTCCTCTACTCCTATAATGTAAGCGCATTACCTGCAGCGCCGTTCCTAGTGGCAGCCAACGCAACGAGCATCCCACTTGTTCATCTGGGAAACAACCAGCCCAGCAGCACTCAGGCTTAGCACAGCTGACATAACTGGGCTGGACTGGAAAGAATACGACCTATCCACCTCTCTCTGAAGACTAATGATGCCACGTCTCTGTGGTCTACAGATGAAGCTATTAACTCTACAGCAGCAGTAGTTCTGCCCAAGCAAAAACTGTGGGAAGACAACGAGGCACACAAGTCTTAAATATTCACCAGGCAGCTGTAAAACCTGTAGAAAATAGAGTACAGATGGCAAAAAAAAAGTAACTTCTTTAGAATTGTTTAAAGGGAAGTTTGTGAGCAGATGTATAAATGGAGTTGCAGATGTTGTAAAAAAGCAAACACACTGTTGTGTAAACAGGTAGATTTCCCACTAGTGGGGCACGAAGAAAACTGTAGCTTACTAGGGGTAGGAGGTTTATCCAGCAACTTAGTGTAAATTGTCATAACTGAGAAGTGACAAATCATTTACACTCATTGAAGTTCTGGTCCAAAGTAATTTGAGATTTCTCTTCCCCCTTTCCACATGCCAAACTTTAATTAAAAAACCAAACCAAACCAACAAAAAAAATCTGAATTTAAAAACCCCACATTTATTACCTACATTTGGTGCCTTGAAAACATCTAAGTTTAAAAAAAAAAAAAATCAATCATAATCCCAAAATGATTTGCTATTGTGTTGGAATTTTTATTAATATTTCCTCGCCACTTATACAACTCAGGAGAACATGAATGGGGTTAGGCTGACAAGAATAAACACATCAGCCTCGTGTTTACTTCTCCATGCCTTCAAAATACCACAGATGTTTCAAAATCCATTTGGGCTTGTTGACTTCCAGATTTCCAAATTATTCACAAATACATACAAATTTTGGTAGCAGAGAAATTCTAAACAAAACACATGAAGCAGCAACTTTCAAAAAATGTAGATCTTTCCCAAACCATATTACACTTCTGAAGAGAATTTATGGTCCTTGTAAGGCTATTACTTAGTAAGTCAGCCCGCATTTTGAAAATTTTCTTACTGGAAGATTGAAAAACATCTAGTGGAGCGCATGCTCAACGATCTCCAGCCCCAGTGCAGAATTTTATCCTCACTGCATTTCACCAACTGAGGCTTCTGCTCCCACTTCCACTTGTATGGATGCTGTGATCGCTCTGCCATTCTGCCTCATGATACCCACAGGAGAGTAGAGTGGTGCTGATGGAAACAGCTTGATGAGACCTCATCCTTCCCCCACACCTGTGCTGTGTTTTGTGTCAACATCCACGTCCTTTTTGAAAAGAGAAAAACGCGTGCATACACACACACAAGCAAAGCCTGCAGGAAGGACTGTGAATCAAAGAAGAAATGCATCAAACCTCCCATTCTCTGGCACACTCAGCTTCTGAGTTAGCACTGGCTCCCGTCAGGGCAATTTTTTGCCATACCAAGCCATATACTAATTTTATAGAAGCAAACTCCCAAACTTGCATGCGTATTTAGACATCTATACATAAATGTTTGTGCAGATAATGTCACTTAAAAGTTAGGAGGTCACATTTTCCTTCTTCCAGTGATGGCTGGCACTCTTTGCCATAAAAAGCAGGTGCAGACAAGAGAAAAATCAGATTGCTATCCATTTATAACTCCTTCCCTGACCTTAATCAAGAAATAGCATATTAGTAACCCCTCAAAGACCATCAACTTTAAACTTCTAAAATGGCCTTTGAAACCATGTGCAATTACTTGCAAATGCAATTGCCTCCACTGAGCAGCGGCAATGTGACCACATCTGTGCCTTACCTCGCCAGACATCTCCACTGATTGCAGTGGCATGGGCAAACAGCTACCTTTACAGTTTTGTGCTCACAATATTGGAGCTAACATTGAAGCCCAACTGAAAACCAATGTCCTCACACGTCAAAATAAACAGGCTGCAGTTCCACTGCCTAACTGTGTCAGTAACTTTCTTTGCACATCCCGAGCAGCCATCCCTTCTCACTCGCGTTTCCAAAGCTGGCTAACACAAAGCAGTTTCATGACAGGAAGGTATCAACACAACGGCTGAAGGCTGAATGGGGTTAAAAAGAAAGCTGAAAGCCAAAGCCTTTTCAGAGCATTTCTGTAAATGTCACCGTTCAGCACTCCCTTTTTACCAAGGCTGCCAGACATGTTCAAATGTAACAGGGAGCGCTACGGTTTTATCTTCTCACTACACGCTTAACACAATAAGGTATTTTAGGCTTGCTTTACAGCCATTAATACACCACCATTATATAAAGACAAAGAAATGCAACTCATTAGAAGAGCATGGGGGAGAAGCCTTTAAAACTTTGATACAGAGACCTACACAGACCATGTGCAGAAGCATCACTGTTTTGACCGCTCCTCAGAATTAACTTCTCTGGAAAAGGAAGGATCTCACAATCCATCTCCAAAAAGGTCACGCCAATTGGCTGCCATTACAAGTACCTTCTCCCTCTTAAAATGGAAAGCTGCCACCCTGAAGCTGAATGCAATCCTTGAGGGTGACATGGAAAAAGGGAGGATGATATGACGCTTTCTGCCATGCTTTGAAAAATCACTGGTGATCTACACATTACTGCCTAAAGAGAACAAGGGGAAACACTGTGATTTATTCTAGAGGGAGTAATTCTGCTCCTTTATTTATTTGTTTATTTTTCAAGAAGTTGAAAAATGTGGAAAGACATTATGAATTGAAGTTTCCAAGAACACACAAATACCACAGAGAGGTGGCAACTTATTTACAGCCTTCACAAATACATTTTCTTTTTCTCCATCCTGAGAGAGGCTCGAGCTGCCAGAACCCCGAACTGGATTTCATATTCCCCTCAACAGATTCAGCTCAAAAATCTCAGGTGTGTTCAGAAATGGGTTTTGAACCAGCCCTGTACCTAACAGTCATTTGCAAGCAAATTCTTAGAGCCTGCTCGCAGATCTCAGCCACAATAAAATACTAAAGCGAAAAAGGCAAGGTAAACAACCAGGGAATTGGCCTCAACTCCAAAACTTTCCAGTGCACTGTAATAAGTTGCATTTTCAATGATAATGACCTTGCACAGTGGTGCTAAAAAGGCCCTACTCTAAAAGGATTTCCCTAAACATAAAGCTTTTCAAGTCCGTTGTTTAGGTATCACTGTAATTCAGACTGCAAGCCATGGTCTTATTAAAAAGAAGGCCCACAGTCATTCTCAGAAAGCAAACATTATGCAACCTTGGCAGCACAGTTTAAACAGCAAAAAAGGAAAAGAGAAATGACTGTTAGAAGAAAGGTATCATCACAGACGGATTACTAGGAATAGAAGTCAGCCCACAACACCTTGCTTGATCCCTGCAAGGCAAAAGTTTCACAGCTAACAGTTAAATAAGGAAGCAAATGTAATGCTGGAAATTCTCATAAAATCCACATCACCACCCAAGTAGTATCCTTTCAAGTAGCATTTTTTACTGTAAATACCAAAGGAATTAATAAAGATCAGCCCCCTCATTTAAAAATGCTACAGTATCATAGAGCAGGAAAGGTCATGTTTAAGGGGAATATTTTACAGCACTGCTCAAGCAGTATTAACACAGAAATGAAAAGGGGAGGGGGAGACCCAGAACACCCCCTGAGAAAGCACGTGAAGAACAGAACGCCCCTTTAAAGGACAGAAGGGCCGACAAAAGGACTTTTGGCTTCAGCCCTTACCATGAACTCCTCTAGGGTCTGGTAGGTTTTCCCTCGAAACTCGCAGTAGTTCTTCCTCTCCTTGCACTGCGGGCAGCACTGCGTGGTGTCCACATGGACGCACCGAGGGTGGAGCCTGGGGCACTCGGGCTGGATGCACAGCGGACCCTCTTCAGTGCAGAGGCAGGGGCAGGCGGAGGGGCCCGGCGCAAACTTCTCCCCGATGGCATAGACAAAGCCGCTCTCGTCCACGCAGCCTTTCCCACGGTAGTCCGGATAGGCGTACTCCTCCGGAGGCTCGGGAGTGACGCTCGCGACAGCTTCTGGGAGAGGCAAATCTTCAGCCACCTGAGGTTCCTCAGGAACGGCGTCCCTTTGCTCTTGCACTTGAATGCTCCCGGATTTACTGCTCGTCCCCTGGCTGTTCCAAGCCTGCTTTTGCTTAGTCCAAGATTCCTTGTTCGAGTAGTTCCTGTTTCCTTTGCTCTTCCAGTCCCTTCCCCTGCCGATCTCATTCATTTTCCCCGGGCCTGTCTGGCTGTCCCTTGTAGACGTGTGATCCCTCTTTTCCTGGCTTGCCTTTATCTCCTGTTTGTCTTGAGCCTTGGCCAGCTTTTGTACAGGTATGGTGGAGCTACAGAGGGCAACCATGAGGCAGCAGGTTACGAGAAGAGAACTAGAGAGAGCTCCAATTGCCATTGCAGTAGAGCTGGGCATCACCTACTGCATCCCACAGGGGACACTGCATTCACATCGGAGGGAAGCGCTTCACAGATCCACAGTCCCTAGGAAGAGAAGGATTAGGAACACTTCAGCTTCGGCATTTCTTCCCTCCCTCCCCCCC